GGCCGGGGCAGGGGTCGGGGCCGCGGCTGGGGCCTGAGCCGGGGCTACGTGCCGGAGGAGGAGAGCAGTGACGGGGAATCCGACGATGAGGTGAGACCGTCGGAGGCGTCTCCAGCGCCGGGCGGGGCGGAGGCCAGGGGCTTCCAGGGTCTGGGTGGCCCCGAGGGGTGCGGGCAACTGGGGTTCTCGGGGCCCTTGAGGAGAGAAGTGGACCTGGAAATAGGTATGGAAGGAGACAGGCTGCATGACGCTTGCAGTGGAAAGGGCCTTTGAAAGTGGGTAGAGCAGACCCGGCTGCAGCTAGGCGCTCGGGCCCGAGGCGGGCTCTGCGTGCCCCGGCTCCTTGCTAGTCGGCAGAGCTTGGACAGTAGTGGCAACTGCATGGCCAGCCCGTGGTGGTTGACAAGCTGCAGCATGGCTCTAGTGGACCGAGACTAGAGCTGTCTGGGCTCCTACCTGGCCAGGCTGCCCGGTTGGGCCTCATAACCTCTGACACATCTGTGGTTTCACCAGTGCCTCAATTTCTCATCTGATCTAGGATAGAGTGGTGGAGGGCTTTCTGGGGCAGGAGTTGAAGAGAAATGGAAGGAAGGCTGAGACTGGGCACTCTGGCAGGTCTGAGTTCAGCTCAGGATTTATCCCCCAGCCTTTCCGAAAAGGTAGGAAGGTGTGGGTTGTGTTGCTTAAGGCAGGTAATAGCTACCTGAGGACTCCAGAGTGGATCCTGATATGATAAACCATTCGATTCTCCCCCACTTGCCCCCCCACTTGGGTATCTCTCTTCCATCTTTATTCAAGGAGATATTGTAGCCTAAAAGGGTGTTCTACTTTTTTAAGTTGGAGTAGGAAGGAATCCAAGTGTAGACTTACTGCCTAACCTGAGGAGACCCTGCTGTGTTCTCTTCTGGGCCAACAAATCATTGATTACTGTGCTGGTGTGGTCTGGCAGTGGAGGTGGGGGTTCACAGTACCTCATGCCTCCATCCCTGGGGGAAGACCTTATTTTCCACCCCCTTCCGACCTTCCAGTTTTTTAAATTATTTTGTGAATAGGTAGGGGTATGTTAAGGGGAAAGGTGGGGATATTCCTCAATACCTGAGTCCCAAGTGGAAAGAGGGCTTTGGCACTGACTGCTGTTTTTCCCCTCCACCCCTGGTCCCCTAAATCAGGAGTTTCAGGGTTTTCATTCAGATGAAGATGTGGCCCCCAGTTCCCTGCGCTCTGCGCTCCGATCCCAGCGAGGTGAGTGACGGGGAAACTCTACCTCTGTTAGCTTTGTAGGAATGTTATTCTCGTCCTTCATGTCAGCTCTTCCCTGTACAACTAGTCTCTATCAGTTACCAAGTGTGTTCTGTGTTCAGAGTCCAAGCTAGGCTGGGCTGTGGGGGAAACAGACAAGTAAGACTTAGTCCCTCCCCTCCTGGAACGCCTTTCTCAGTCTGCAGGGCCAGCTTGACCCATCTCCCCACACCTATTCTCCTTTTAGGTCGAGCCCCCCGAGGTCGGGGCCGCAAGCATAAGACGACCCCCCTTCCTCCTCCTCGTCTAGCAGATGTGGCTCCTACCCCCCCAAAGACCCCTGCCCGGAAACGGGGTGAGGAGGGTACAGAACGGATGGTGCAGGCACTAACTGAACTCCTCCGGCGGGCCCAGGCACCCCCAGCTCCTCGGAGTCGGCCATGTGAGCCCTCCACCCCCCGTCGGTCTCGGGGACGGCCCCCAGGACGACCAGCAGGCCCCTGCCGGAAGAAGCAACAAGCAGTAGTGGTGGCAGAAGCAGCTGTGACAATCCCCAAACCTGAGCCCCCACCTCCTGTGGTTCCAATAAAACAGCGAACTGGCAGCTGGAAGTGCAAAGAAGGGCCTGGCCCAGGGCCCGGGACCACCAAGCGTGGAGGACATTCTGGACGTGGAGGCCGTGGAGGCAGGGGCCGAGGCCGAGGCGGGCTCCCCCTTGTGATCAAGTTTGTTTCAAAGGCCAAAAAAGTGAAGATGGGACAGCTGTCCTTGGGACTTGAATCAGGTCAGGGTCAAGGTCAACATGAGGAAAGCTGGCAAGACGCTCCCCAAAGACGAGTTGGATCTGGACAGGGAGGGGGACCTTGTTGGAAGAAGCAGGAGCAGAAGCTGGAGGAGGAGGAAGAGGAGAAGAAAGAAGAAAAAGACAAGGAGGAGGAAGAAGAGAAGAAAGAGAACTTTGTAGCTGAAGAAGAGATGATACTGGCCAAGGGAAAAGAAGAGGCAAAGCTGCCATCACCACCCTTGACTCCTCCAGAA